TCTCTCTCTCTTTTGGTTAAAACAGGGTTGGTGATAAGTTCTTTTTTCTTCCTCTTATTCAATTTTAGCAACTAAAGTAAGGATATTGAAATTATGATCAAGTAAAATGGGAAGAATTTTTGAGGAAGTTGAAAAAGCATTCAACTTCGCTTTGCATTTTTATTCTGTTAAGAGAGACAAAGGTTATATAAATAACATATAGACTTTAAAATCAGAAATCTATGAATTTTAAGCTAATATATTTTGATGCAAATGATGAACAAAATATACATGGTGAGAAAAGGGAATGTTTTGCTCAACTACACTGCCTTTATGCTTAATAAAGTTTTTTTAATTAAATAGAAATTCTGCAATTCATTAGGTTTACATAATGCCTTTCAACTAAAGTGCTAAACTCTGGGTAAAATTGTTTCATTATTTTAACCTACTCATGAAGTTAATAACAATGGATGTTTTTGTGATCAAGCAAACAGAGATGTAGATTCAGAAATACTATTGTAATATACTCCATTAGAATCATTTTATTGATAGACATAAGGAACACTAGCTCTGTCAAGTTAGCTAGTTAAGAAGTGAAAAAGCACCAAATAGGATGAATGATTCAGTTGTTAAACTGACCTAAGATTTATCATTGCATAGCTTAAGGTAATTATTTTTTTCTTTACATTTGTCCTTCCAGAAGGTGAGAATTATATAACCTACCCTAGACTTCATATGCAGGAAAGTATTACAACTAAAATAAAGGAAAAATTCTGTTAGGATCTTTGGTTACCATATGTATTTCTATAATTTCTTTAAATCTAAAGAGAATTAAAAATAAAATATTTGAATCTGCTTGTCTTATATGTATTTTTTCTTCCCCGCAGGATTATACCTCAACACTTCTGCTCAATGGTTATGAGACCCTAGAAGATTTAAAGGATATAAAAGAGAGTCATCTCATTGAATTAAATATTGAAAACCCAGAAGATAGGTTGAGGTTACTATCAGCTGCTGAAAGTTTCCTTGATGAAGAAAGTAAGTTTGTATACCTACTTTTCTCCCTAACTGAAAATCACAGTTTAAAGTAAATAGTAAAATTGTTAAAAGCAATGCGCCAGTTTTATTTACTGCAAATCATATAAAGCATTCTTTCTCACAAAATAAGAATTTTCATATAACCTTGGAAACAACTGTCGTCAAATTTATAATTAGGGAAAGGAATTTTTTAATCTTAGTGGACCCTTAGGAAACAAAAGGACTTTTCTAGGTGCCTCATTTTGATTCTGCAGAGCTATTAATTTATACGCAAGTAGATGCCTGCATTCCCAAAGACTGAGGGAGTTAGAGACAAATATTTAGTGACAGCATGAGCCATTAGTGAGAAATGTCACACATGGCTTCTGTAGAACAACACAGAGCACAGCTCTAAGCTAATGAGCCTTCGCGACACACAGGAAAATTCATTTCATTACCATACAGTCACATCTTGTGTGTGTTTATAGTACTCTTTCAAAATGTTATAATAGCTTGCAAAAATATTCAGCACTCACTTTTATTATCTAAGATGGTTCTCTGTATTTGTAAGTATAAACTGAGGATGGAATAATACATGCAGATTCATTTATGGCAGAATACTAGCTATGCCAACCGGGTTTGTAAAGATAGGATAGCTTTTATTTTTACAATTACCCATCTGGAACACCCTTCCTCCTAAATCTAGTCAGGCCCACAAATCCTGAGCTTAGGATGTGCTAAACTCTGCAAGGAATATTTTGTGTAGGGGAGGAGGGGGAGAAAGGAGGGTGGAGAGTCTAATTTTAAAGATAAAAAAGGATTTAGATCATCTTCCAGCCTTCTCAAAAACAATATTAATACTTGAACATGTGCTCTGAGTAAAACTTGAAGTCAAGGTCTTTATGTTTTATTATCTTATTTAGCATTCTTTACATCCCTCTAGTTAGAAAGTACTGCCTCCAATTTTAGAATAAGAGATTGAGATGATAAGTATCCTAAGTGCAAACTCTGAGTGAATTGTAGAGTTGGGATTCCTACGCAGTGTTTGTGAAGCTCTGTTGCACTTTCTAACACTACAAGTCACAGCCCAGATGGAGAGCAAGGAGGAAAGCTGTATTTAGCACCCAGACCTCCTGACTTCCTTTGTGAGCTCTCCTACACCTTCTCTCCTAAGTTCCACAGAATTGAGGCACAGCACGTGTTTACTATACGCTTGCTTTTTATGTGATAGGAATTAATTTACTTTTTTAGAAACTGCTCCTTACTTTATTCTTAGTTGTCTTCTTGTGTGTGTGTAGATCTTCATCCTTTTCCAAGAGCTTCCACATGCATGACTAACTGAACACTAGCATGACTGATTTCATCATTAGGCCTAGGTTTTTATGGACCTTCTTTGAAGTTTTGGGGACTGGGAGATACAAGAAGACCACAGAGAGTCACAGAGGCAGACAAAGATTAACCTTAAGAAGGCAGTCAACTTATTCAATAGTACAAGACCTACAATCAGTCAATGTGGCAAGATCTTTCTGGTAAATGGGGCAGTTTCTTTTACTGCTTGTCATTTGAAGACATAGCCCCTTACTAAACGATGTTTGGTTCTGTAGGGTTTTTGTATTGATCACGTGCAGGATCACTGCCAATACTCTCCAAAACAATTTGACCACAAAGCGCAAGGAGAGAGAGAAGAATATTTTTTAACACTTGTAAAATAATTACTTTTCTTCTATAACACCATACACACACGTAGGCATTGTTGTCCAATTTACAGATGAAGAAATAATTCAGAGATGATTTTCATAGAGGTCTAAGAGCTAGATAAGTAGGAGGGGTGGGATAGTAATCAAAGGGAAGCTTCAATAAACTCAAAGTTCTGTTTTCCCTATGTGCAAATGGGAAAATGTAGTAACAATGAATACTCAAAAACTGAAATTTTCTGTTGACTTCACCAATTTTCTCAAGAGCTTTAATTCAGTGCTCCATCTCAGAAAGTGGAAGTTAATGTTTAAGTGAAAACAGAAGCCTGGCAACTGCATGAATCCCTGATAGGTGAGAGGCTACCTTGGCTGCCTCACAACAGGGTTTGTAGAGAGAAGGGGCTGGGAGCCAGCAAGCATTGTTTTCAGCCATCAGACAGTTCTCAGTAGGAACCCACTAAGGGAAGATGGGTCCAAGGCCAAAGCCTCTGTCCACTTCATCTCTTCATGCTTCCTCTCTCATCACCTGTCTACTTTCTATGTGAAACAATTTTTACAGATGATAACAATATGAGAGTGGGGTGTGATATTGAAAACCACCTGACCCAGATCCTTCCTTTGCAAGATAAGCAAATTAAAGCCTGGATAGCTAAGTGACTTTCTCAAGGTCACATGTCTGCGGCTTAGTCTCTTAAGTCTATTAGAAACATGTTCCACTCTATCTAGGTCTCTAACAACAACACACAATATGTTCAAGCATGAGGTGATTCTGATGTTTGATATACACATAAAAAGACAAGTCCCGGAAACTCTTGCTCTGTACAAAACTTTAGAAAATGGTACTTGAAGGTCAAGAGAAGCTGATCACTGAATAATAGCCAATAATGTACAAACATCAGATGCAGAGCCAAGTTCTGCAAGATGAAAAATAGAAAAATGAAGATTCAACCAGTGTAACTTGTCAACACACAACCCTGAGTTTTTTCTTATTTTAATCTTCAGGTCTAAAGTAGTATTAGAATATACATGTCAAAAAGATGCATATTGCATGTTAGGCTATTGTGACTGAAAGCTATTTATCTTATATGAAACTGCTTTTCTCAAGAAATAAAGAAGAATGACTTCCATTTGTTGATAAGATGGTGAATTCTGATGATTTGGCACCATGCTGCTGCATGCTTATTTTTATCTATCCTATACTCTGTGAATCATATCTACTACAACCATGCTAAAGATTAAATGCACAACCTTCATGTACCTTGAATGATAAAGACCTTGAATGCATGGTTATGTAAAACTGAGACATTATTAAAAACAAATGCATGTCATAGTCACGGGTTAAAAATAGTTAGCGTTTCTGTTGTTGTTGAAGAATGGGGCATGCAAATTGGCCAGGATTTTATGTATGCATTTTTATTTTCATCATTGAATAATGCCAGTTTGGGGACTGTCAATAAATTCCTCAGTTAGTGTTTCATTGTTAGGTTGAGAACTTGGAAAGATTTTGCTTTGCAAGCCATTCAATATAAGAATTGAGAAAACTGGGCATGTATCTTGAGGAGGAGTTAAAATTTTGAGATAATGTAGACAAGACCACAAGTCCCATATGAGGCTAAAACATATCTAGAGCAACTTAGAGAAGAGATGGGGCAGGAAAGAAACCAGAAATATAAGGTTTAGAACAAGCAATTTTCCTTTTCTTTTATTTCCAGATCAATAGTATTGTCCCCACTTTGACCTTAAAAATGTAAACCAGATTAAACTTTTTAGTTCACTACTTGGCAGGAGCTAAAGATGCTTCTCCAACAAGCTGACAGAAGGGCTGGTGAGTGGTGTTAGAGCTGATCACAGGATTAATGCTGAAGGGGGATAATGACTTGGGGTTCTGCAATCCCAGCAAGACAAGAAGAGATATTCAGAACTAGCTCTCATGTTGCCTTAGAACTGAACAGAATTAGGTCATTGACTCCTTCAATTGGGAATCTAGATAAGGTTAGAGAACAAATTAAACAAAAAAGAAGAATAAAAAGGTTAGAGAAAAACTGAGGTGAGCCCCAGCTCTTGATGGAACCAAAACAGTGATATCATTTACTTTATGCACATTAAGATTTCTATATTTATTTTGTGAATTTAAAAATGGTTTGTTTACTTTGAGAGTAAATAGTTTCAGCAAGTGAAAAAGAGAATGTGTGCAAATGTGTGAATGCTGTTGCATAAACACAAACTTCAAAGCCCCTTTGCCTTACTCAGAAATGCTTCTCTAGAATAATAACAGTTAACTGCTGCTCATAGTACGTATTTTCTATCTGTTCTGCACTAGTCTCTTTTCCAAAGTTTAGAAGCACTTTGATGTGTCTTAAAATTGTGTCTACCAGAATGTGTACTGTTGTCCTTGGGGAAAAATAGGTGATGGAAATATCATCCTTTCCCTAGAGTACAGAGATAATTAATTTTTAAATTGAAAAAAAAATTAGTAACAAAATAGGCAAACTTTACAGAATCTGTTACAATATGTTTTAGATACCTGCAATCTCTGGCTACAGTGCCAAAGGAGGAGGAAGGGGAAAGGGTGGGTTGTGTGCCAGGCCCTTGGCACCAGCTGTGGTCACAGCAGCCCCTCATTGCTCAACCATCCCCAGTTGTGCCTTCCTGTCTGCCTGCCTGCCCAAATCCATGCAGGGCAAATGGTGGGGCTCAGTCAGGAGCTGGAACATGAGCCTCCGGCAAGAGAGATTTGTAGTTATGCCAAGCAGCAGTCCAGCAGTTGGCCTAACAGTGTGCCAGCCTAGCCTGGTGCCCTAGCCCCTGACACGTGTACCTGGGGTTTCCAACCCACTTGCCATATGATTTGAATCTCGATTCAAGAAATATACAGCTTTTAAAGAGATATGGTAACTATCCACATATATAAAGTTGAGAAGACATGCAGAAATTTTACTTGTATGTATTTACAAATATGTCATCACTGTTTAGTTTCTTCAGATCTATTTTTGGTCTTATTAACATTTCATTTATGAAATATATTTATGTAAATAAAAAACTCAAAATGAAGCATAAGCATTCTTAGTCTTTTACCAGAAAACCACTTTTAGTGAAAAGGGTTTGCAGATTTTTTTTTTTACCTCAGGCACCTAAAGACCTTTGTCATGCCTGTAAGTACAGAATTCCTGTGTTGCCCTGTGACTGAGTCCCAAGCATGGCTTTGTAATGGATCAAACAAGACCAAGTCCTATATTACCATGTGTTTTCCCAAACCTTCAGTCCTATGCTTTGCATTCAGTGATGGTCGACTTGCTTATAGAGTAAATGTATACTGAGTGAGAGGAG